TATTTTATTTATACCAGTGATATTGAGGAATAAGAAACTAAATTCTTTCCGATACCTCCCATTCTAATTATTTCGAGCTAGAGTTGACAGAAAAGCACAACAACAAAAAAATCGAATCAACACTGCAGCCGAAACTGAAGAAAAAAAATCCAAGCTTGAGTTGAGAGAGAGGCTCAAGAATGAGTTTTTGAATTTTGAAGATTGGACTGCGAGTGCAAGCTTTGTGTTCGTTTCTCTGTCTCTTCATTTCACTCGCACACCACATTCCTCAGCGAGTGCAAGCTTTGTCTGTCTTCATTTGGAAAAAAAAGGATGCCCATACCCGCTCAGGCTGCCTAGACCCACCCATGCCGCCTTGAACCGGCCAGGCCGCCTAGACCCGCCTAGATCCGCCCATGCCACCTAGGCGCCGCCACTCCCTTATAGCATTAGAGTTGTTATCTTAGTGGAGATTTCAATAGTTGAATGACATTTGATGGTTTTCATAGAGAAAGTCCAATCCAATCCAATCAACACAGCATGCGAAACGAAAGAAAAAAAAAATGAAGCTTGAGTTGAGAGAGAGAGAGAGTCTTTGAAGCTTAGAAGCGCTTATAGAGAAGTGAAATGGTTGTGACTGCGAGTGCAAGTTTCATGTATATTTAAAGAGTATAGCCGATCGGCTATACCTCTAAAATATTCGAATATATTCAAAGGGTATAGCCGCACGGAAATACAGCTTAAAATATATTTAAAGCGTACGTGGCTATACAGTTTAAAATATTTGAATATATTCAAAGAGTATAGCTGCACGGAAATAATATATTTAAAGAGTATAGCCGCGCGAGGCTATACTCTTTAAATATACAATTTTGTCATGATATTTTAGGGTTTATGGCTAAAATACCACTTTAGCTAATTAGGATAGAGTTATTTCTTCAATTATTTTATTTATACTAGTGATATTGGGGAATGATAATTTAAGTTCTTTCTGATACCTCATATTCTAATGATTTCCAGCTATTAGCCCATTAGACAAGAATAAAAAATGAATTTTATTTATAAGAAATAATACGGGTTAAACCTATAAATGCAACAACAAAAAATAGGAATCCAATCCAAAGGTTTTGGACCTTTCTACACATTACCAGTTACAAGATTTTTATTTGTGGCAGCTCTTCTTGCCAATTAATTTTACGATTTTTAGCACCTTTCTACACATTACTTGTTACAAGATTTTTAGCAACCTTGTAAAATTCAAAGATGCAACTTCATAACATCCTCAATTTTGGCATTACCATACAAAGGTTTTGGACCTTGAGTAGACCAAGTAGTGGTGGCTAGAGCATTTTATCAAATAGTTTTGCGATGAACTAGCAGTGTTAGAACAGCTATCAAGTTCTAACTCCTATCCTCTTCATAAAAACATTCTGGGGATAATCTAACTGAAAAATGCACTGGCTGCAAAATTTAAATAATTACTATTTTATTGTTGTCTTCAAACCAACACCTACTCACAACTTCTGTGACTTCACTTCAATGTTTCTTAACACTGGAAGATGATGATCCAAAGTTCAAAACTCAATCCAAAAAGGTCATTATATGAAATACTTTTGGTTTATTTGGATGAATACAAGACTGTGTTTCTGGAATGGTAATTATTTGCACTTACCAACTTATCATGGAAAAACAACCCAAAACCAACTCCAGATATGAAATTCTCCTTTGTTCTAGGGGTTCTCCCCTGGAACCACCCCCTTCAGTTAATAATCTGGGCCTCTCTCCCCTCCTCCGCCCCCACCCCGGTTATGTTGTGGAGTGTTTTCCCTCCCAGCTTTTGTTGGGTTTTGTATGCTCCTTAGTGTTGCAAGGTTTTGTTTTCTCTCCTTTTTCTTTAGGGTTTGTATTCTAGTCTTTTGAGGCTGGTTTTTGGATGATCTTGCTAGATCTGCTGCTTTTATGGTAGATCTTGTGTAGATCTCTCTATATTGGAGGTGGAGCTGCTGAATTTGGTTTATTGTGCTTGGGGATCAAGGGAATTAGGAGATGCTGTGATATTCTTTGGAATGTCCTGGTGGAAGTTGAGCGGTTAAGCCCTCCACCATTGAGGTGTTTCCTGTCCCATGAAGTTTGAGAGATTTTTTCTCTATCTTGATCTTCTTTAAGCAGTCATTGCTGCAAGGATTTGGGTCCTCCTTATCTATAACTCTTTGTTAGCTTGGTTTAAAGTTGTATGCTATTTTTTTAACAATCTTGTAATACTTGTGTTTAGTTGGTGTTGTTGTTTTAGTCTCTGTATTGCAAGAACCTCCTGGATGTGTTCTTATTGTTGTATCTTGGCTTGTGCCCTATTCTTCAATGGATTCTATACTGTTTTGCCAAAAAAACAAAAAAACAAAAAAAAACAAAAAAAACTTATCATGGTAAAAAAATAGATTGATAAATATTCAAAAAAAACTAATAAATAAAAAAAAACTACATAAAAATAAATAAATAAATAAGTTGCACCTTTGCAGTTCGACCCAAAAAAAGACAACAACATTTTGAAGCACCCGAAATGACATGAAGCAGGCAAAGCATAAAACTCCTTCTGAAAATCAAAAACTGAACCTTTAATAAACCCTAGAGAGTGAATTAGAGAACCATGAGACGTACTCTATTGAACAATGTCTCTCTCTACGCTCGCAATCGCCTTCTCTCCCCTCCACCCTGCAACCCTAATCCTAGCTCCTCACTCGTCCCACTCGCCACTTCGACTCGGTCCCTACTCAGGCTTTTCTCTTCCGAAGACGACTCTTCCGTTGAAAGCTCCAATTTTGATACAGTCTACTAAAGATAAAATTTTGATACTTTGAAAAAGTATAAAATAACAAAATGGGCATCATATATCATTTTAAAAAAACTATATATGTATCAACATTCCTCCAACAAATTCACAAGACATGTATCTCTCAAAAAAAAAATCTAAAAATAAATTGATAAATGTATTCCGCATCCTGAATTAGTTGTATTTTGCATCCTGAATTATTAGAAGTTTCTCCATTTGTTGAGATGGCCCCTCTTGATGCTTTTGCTGTGTAATGCTTATGAGCCCATTCCTACAAACACAGCAAAATACAATGAACCTACTGCTCGAAAAACTCCTCTATTGTCTAGCACACACATATTTCAGCTAAACACGCAACAAGGAGAAACAAAAAGGAAAAAACAAAACATCAACAAGACAAACCAATAAGACTGGATCATTGATGATGAAGTCGAGGATAACTGATCCAGGATAACCAAGCCTCAATACCCAAATAAAACATTGTTTTACTTCCTTAAACTAATAATATATATGCAAAACTATAACTAATTATGTCCAAATGACATACCCATTGTAGGCTTTGAATGCCAAGTTCTGATAGCCAGTTGAACTCAAAGTCTGCGAAGATTTCTCACCAAACTTATAAGGAACCACATCATAACCTGTAATAAATCATATCAATAAATATCTTCTATAGACAAACATGTATAGGTTAGGTTATAAATTTCACAGCAGAACCTACAGAAAAAGAAGATGCTAGAGCCAAGGATGTAAAAGGCATATAAAAGATAAAACTAACAATATCTGTGTATAAGAGGTCATCATGAAAGATGACCTTTTTTCTTGTAGTGTACTCAGGCTTTTCTCGTCCGAAGACGACTCTTCCGCTGAAAGCTCCAATCCGTCTGCTGATTCGAGCGTGATCCCAACCAACAAGAAAGATGCCTCCGTTGAAGTCCAAGACATCAATAACAAAGGTGACCCACCAAATATATATTTATATATTTTTCAAGTTTTCAATGACCTTCAATCTTGACCCTCTGTCTTCATTTAGAACAAAAAGGAGGCGGCCAGACCTGCCCAGGCCGCCTAGGAGACGCCTAGACCCACTCGCGCCGCCTAGAACCGCCTAGAACCGCCTAGGCCGCCTAGGCCGCCTAGGCGCCGCCTAGATCCGCCCAGGCCGCCTAGGCGCCGCCTAGATCCGCTCAGGCCGCCTAACTCCCTTATAGCATCAGAGTTCTTATCTTAATGGAGATTTCGACAGCTGAATGACACTTGATGGTTTTCGTAGAGAGAGTCCAATCCAATCCAATCAACTCAGCAGCCGAAACGAAAGAAAAAAAATCGAAGCTTGAGTTGAGAGAGAGAGGCTCAGAGTCTTTGAAGCTTTGAAGGGCTTAAAGAGAAGCGAAATGGCTGTGACTGCGAGTGTTACCAAAAAAAAATGGTTGTGACTGCGAGTGCAAGCTTCGCGTTCGTTTCAAATATATTTAAAGAGTCTAGCCGCGCAGCTCTACCTTCAAAATATTCGAATAAATTCAAAGAGTATAGCCGCCCGGCTATACGATTTTGTCAATTTATTTTAAAATACCGCTTTAGCTAATTAGGATAGAATTATTTATTCAATTATTTTATTTATACCAGTGATATTGAGGAATAAGAAATTAAATTCTTTCCGATACCTCCCATTCTAATTATTTCGAGCTACCAAGTTCTAACTCTTATTCTCTTAAAAAAAAAAAAAAAAACATTCTGGCCGATAATCTAACTAAAAAACGCACTGTCATAACTATTTGTAAGTTTCATCTCTGAAAGTTGGCTCTTCAACAATGTGAACAGGACGTAGTAATATAGGAAAAGATGTAGACTCACGTACATCAAGTGATCGTGTTGGAGTGGTTATCGGGCATGACTAGAAATACTGTTTATTTGAATAACTTGCATTTTGCTTTATTATTGCTTTGTCTTCTGGTTGTTTCCATGACTCTACCAGATCTTATATGACCCTTTTGTATATGCAACCTTTCTTTTTTCTTGTGATTATAAACGTTAAACAAGAAGATTATAGGTGGTGATGGGCAAAGGAAACCCATACATGACCTTTTGTTATCGTTCACATCAAAACTTCATTTGTATGTTACCTCAAGATGAATTTCCTTTTTTTATATTTATTTATTGAAATTTGGCTACAGAACTTCTTAACAATCATGAGTTACTTTTGAAGTTTTACATGTACAGATTCAAGCCTTCGAAGTGAGGGCCTTGAGAAGGAGTCCATTTTCAGTGATTTTGTCTCCCTCATGTTCTCTCTCAAAATTTTCATCTCTAATCCTAGACATTTCGCCATTCTACATATCTCCCCAGACTGTGGATGGGATGTATCACCTGATGAAAACCCATGCAGATACAAGGAACCATCAGCATCACCAGTATCCACCCAACTATATCCCACTTCCTTTCTCACTCCTTTATCTCTCATCCCTTTCCTAACTTTTGCTACCATTTCCCAGTCCCCTTTCTCAGCATACAAGTTGGACATCAACACAAAAGAACCCGATTCCATTGGTTCCAATCTCATCAATGTATTGGCTACTCTCTCCGCCATCTCCATATTCCCATGGATCCTGCAAGCCCCAAGCAGGCTTTGCAACAACGAAAACCCTGGCTGTCCCGGGATCTGACTCATCAATTCCTCTGCTTCCTCCAATTTCCCTCTACGTCCCAACATGTCCACCATACTTGAATAATGTTGAGGAGATGGTTCAATATGATAGTCGTTCACCATTGAGTGAAAGAGGTGACGGCCCATCTCCACCATTCCCTTTCTACTGCATGCTGTTAGTATAGAAAGAAATGTGACTGAATCAGGTCTTACCCCTTCTTTCTCCATCTTCTTGAACAATTCTATCACTGAGTCATAGTCTCCATGCCCAGCATATGCAGATATTATTGCAGTCCAAGAAAACTGACTTTTATGAGGCGTCTCACTGAAAACTCTTTTGGACTCACAAATGCTTCCTCGCTTTGCATACATATCAAGAAGAGCACCTGCGATAATTGGGTCAGTCACTAATCCAAGTTTGATCAAGGAAGAGTGGCATCGTTGGCCAAATTTCAGAGAAATATCCTGAGCATCACCAATTGCACTCAAGACACTACCAAATGTGTAATTGTTTGGCTTCGACTCCATAGTTGCTACCAAGAATGTTTTTAGTGCATCTTGACAGAACCTGTTCTGAGCATACCCTGAAATCAAAGCATTCCAAGATATAATTGCTCTGCTGTTTAACTCCTCAAAAACTTTGATGGAGTCATGCATGGACTCAAACCTAGCATACATGGTGATCAAGCTGTTGCAAACATTATGCTTTGATAAAAAGCCAGTCTTTATGCAGAACCCATGAATCATTTCGCCTCCCTCCACCAACTTCCTAATTGATACAGCATGGATTAGTCCAACAAATGTAACATCATTTGGATATACTCCATCCAATCTCATCCCATTAAATAGAGAGATGGCATCTTCTTCGTCTATAGAAATCATAGTCGTCCAAGACACTACGTTGCAATCATTCATGCACTGAAAGACTAATTTTGCATCTTCAGTAACCTCACACTTTGAATATGTTGAGATTAATACATTACAAACTGAAACATGACTTCCATATCCTGATTTAATTGTCAAGCCATGTATCTGTTTCCCAAGTTCTCAATTCATTTCATGACCGCAAGATGAAACTGCACTAGTAAATGAGACATGATCTAACCCCATCCCTTCTCTCACCATCTCAGTAAAGACAAAAATCGCTTCAAGCCCATGATTTCCCTCTTGAGAGTAACCTGATAGTATTGCATTCCATGAAACACAATCCTTATTCGCCATTTCATCAAACACACTCCTAGCTTCTATTAACCACCTCCACCTCGAATACATACTTATAAATGCATTTCCAACAAAAACTTCACCATCTAAACCAGACTTAAATATAAGAGAATGCAGTTGTAATCCAAATAGAAAATCTTCATGATCCGCACAAAAAGCAAGAACCGTAGTATAAGTCACTGGATCAAAAACAACTCCATTAAAATTCATCCTAAGAGCAAAATTCAATGCACCCTCACTTGTTCGAAATCCCAAAAGAATAGTATTCCAAGAAACTATATCAGTATAACACATAGTCTCAAAGATAAATAAGGCACCATCAAGCTGTCCAGCTTTGGTGTACATACTCATCAAAGAATTTGAAACCGTAGTATATGAAGCAAATCCAGAAGAAACAGCAAACCCGTGAATTTGGCATCCGGGTTTGGGGTCCCCTTGACAGGCCTTCACAGCAAGGGTAACGGTAACTTCATCAATGTTATGAGACAAATGTAGTTGAAGTTGCTTACAGAACATGTCAAGGGCTCTGAGTGGAAGGTTTCTGTGCAAGTAGTTGAGCATAGAGCGGTTAGTTGAGGCTGCATTTGGTTGGGGATTTTGGTCGAACGGTTGGTGCTCATGTCTGAATGAATGGAAGTAGGAGCAGCTAGCATACCGTTGCTTGGGTATTCGTTGGAGGGTTTTGAAATTCAGTTGGCGGATAATCATGAGAAACGAACAAAACGCCAATTGTAATCAGAAAATAGCATTAGGCAGATAGGAGAGCGCGCCTTAAACCCTCTGAAAGCCAAAACCCTGGCTTTTGTTTCTTTGGGTTTTCTTTTAAGAAATAAAGCATGGGCTTTTTATTTGTAGTAAGATATATGCATAAAATGGGCTTATAAATGATTTGGTAGTCGCCCAAAAAAAGAAAACGATTTGGTAGTCCATAAGGATCTACCTTGCCCATCCTCACACCACACCCAATGATTTGGGCTTATATAAACCTCAAAATATACGTCAAAATTGGGATTGGAATGCATGGTGGTTAGGTTATTAAGATTGAGCCAACGGTCCCACTTGACATTGGCAAATATTAAGAGTCTTGACTTACATACTAGGGGTACTAGGTTCGAATTTCGATACTAGGGGTATTAGGTTCGAACTTCGATGACATTAGTTGTTGTGTGTATGAGAAAAAGGATTGAAGATTATCGCCTACCTGCGGGATGTATGCTATACAATATGAAACGCGAGCAGAGCAGCTACTTATAAATAAATATTTTGTGGTTGTTGGCATGAAACTGAAGGCAAGGCAGAGTTGGTACAAATTCATTAAGCTGCAAAGATTAATCCCACCTGGCATTGGCAAATATATATACTTCAAAATGACTGAATGAGGACGGGCTGAGAGTTGTATACAAAATAGATATGTAGTACTAGTGTAGGGACAAACAGACTGGTATATTGTTGATAATGGACCCTGCAACACGCGTTTGGTTCCTAACACAATAATGTTGCACTATATTATTTTTTTCTCTATCTTCTTCATCATCATTGCTCATAGGTGAACAATTCTTCTTTGGTAGGAAGAAAACTTGTATATCACGGGGATATCACTGTTTTGTTACCCTTTTTATTAATCACATTCCGCTACTTGTGATAACTGTTTTACATAACAAAATGCGATTAATTAGGAATAATAAAACAATATTATCCCGTGATGACATGCAAGTTCTTCTCCGTTGGTAGGCTGGACTGTAGTTGTATGGTGGTGAAACCAAACTATATAGAGGAGCTGTTAAACGGGAATCCCACATGCCATGTTATATGCCAGCCAAGCTGCCCCCAAACTGATCACTCATCTGGATATATGCTTATACCTTCTGTCTGTCTCTGCTTTTTGATTAATCAATAAAAGAATATGCAGACAAACGTAATACTACTACTTGATGGGTTGAATCGAGTTTAATTTTGTCTTAGTCTAACTTGGACTACTAATTCTAAAGGGTTTAACTTTTTCTTTCTTTCTTTCAGGATCTGTTGTTTGAATAAAGAATAGCACAAATATGAGATAATTAATTTCATTTACAAATGCACCTCAATTTACACTAGGTGAACGAGTATTTAGGATTTTAATATGTAGATAGGTCAAACGTACTACTACTCATGGATGGCATGACATCCAAATCAGACTAGCAAATATTTGTCAGTTGAGCTGTTTATTCAATAGATATATATATGCTAATTTATTTGGTCTATATTTGCAGCCAAAAAAAGAAAAGAACATTATATGAAGAAGCCAAAAAAAGAAAAGAAAATTATATGAAGAAGCGTTGTCACGTTTGTGCCCAAATAGAGTTTCTTCTTTTATGTGTTGTCATGATTTATTTTAGTCTACATTTAGAGCCAAGCCAGCTCATTCCAACATAGGCTCTCTCTCTCTCTCTCTCTCACTCACCCCATACCATAAAATCCCCCATCATCCCACTACACTACTACACCACTCCATCCAAAAACACCATGGCAGCTCTCAGTCTCCCAACTTTCACTGCAGCTTTCTCCTTCCTACTCCTCTTCACCTCCCACACCCAAGCCCAAACCGCACCCGCCCCGGGCCCCGCTGGCCCGCTCAACTTCACCGGCATCCTTGACAAGAATGGCCAATACACCACCTTCATCCGCCTCCTAATCCAAACCCAAGTAGCATCCCAAATTACAAACCAACTCAACAGCTCCACCGAGGGCCTAACCGTCTTTGCCCCGACAGACAACGCTTTCACCAGCCTCAAAGCCGGCACACTCAACAATCTCACAACCCAACAACAAGTAGACCTTGTCCTCTACCATGTGCTGCCCAAATATTACACTCTAGCCAGTCTTTTAACGGTGTCAAACCCCGTTAGAACTCAGGCCACAGGCCAAGACGGCGGCGCGTATGGGCTCAACTTCACAGGGTCGGGAAACCAAGTTAATGTGTCGAGTGGGGTGGTGGAGACTCCGATCAACAATGCACTTAGACAACAGTTTCCATTGGCCGTTTACCAAGTGGACAAAGTACTGTTGCCTAATGACTTGTTTGGCGCCAAGGCACCTGCATCGGCTCCTCCTCCAGCTAAGACCCCCTCATCAGGAAGCTCAAACGAAACGGCAACAAAGGCTGCGTCGTCACCTGATAATTCTGATGCTGGTTCGATTAAGAGCAATGCGGGTTTCATGGGATTAGTGTTTGGGATGATGGGTTTGCTTTTCATAGGGATTTTCTCGTAATTAAGCACCCAATATATAATATCCCAGCTAGGGTTTGTGGGATATGGACCTACGCACGAAACATTCGCGTTCTTAATTTGTATTCCTTATTATCTCTCCCTATTTCTCTATGTTTTTGGTACTTGTGTTTTAAATTTTTTAATCAAATTGTTTGATTGATTGTTATTCCTAATAAATCCCTAATACTGTTGGGTTTTAACGCAATTTAGGACCTCTCTTAGCTCTGTGACGAAAAAGAATTAATTCTGCAAAACATGCATTAATGTTCTTAATATGCACTTGCAAAATTAATTAATTAAGGGGGGAGATGTTGGAGTTCTGGTAATTAGGTCTACATCACATGCATGGCTAAATAAATAATTGAAGCAACTTGAATTCTAAATTTCTATGTTCTATTTCCACTCTTGCATCTGAGCTTCAATATATTCTCTCTCTTTATTTTTCTTTTGATTAAACAAAAGAGTACAAACTTGGTAACATCCAATAATATGAGAAATTAAAAATCTACATTGATTGATGAAATTGCGTCCCTCATTTCACAGCTACATTGATTGATGGACGATGATATAATTCATTTTCTGGGCATCTAGCCCAATAACTTTGATGGGTCCAAATTTTAACTTTGGGCATTACAACTTAATAAAGGAAATATATATGAAAAGTTGTAGAGTAATTAGCATCAAGTGGTCGTGCCGGAGTGGTTATCGGGCATGACTAGAAATCATGTGGGCTTTGCCCGCGCAGGTTCGAATCCTGCCGACCACGTTTTTTATATTACTTTTAGAATTTGGAAGAGGAGAGAGATTGTGACTTGCATTTTGCTCTTTTTTGCTTCCCCTTCTTCACTCATTTATGCACGCTGCTTTCAAACAAATTGCAGAAAAAATGAACCTGGCTTGCTATATGATCATGACTATTAACAAACAAGATACATCAATTAATATTCAGAAAACAGGGCATTGTTTTTTGCTGTCATGTTCATCTTACCAGTTACCAGTCACATTATATAGGTAATGGGTCATTATATGACTTCTAATCACCATTAAACAAGATATTTGAGTCATCACCATATCACCCTTTTCTATAATGCAGCCCACAATACACTCAACACCTCTAATTTAATCACCTAAAAGTGACATTATTTTGCTATCATGCATGACTTTTGGATGGCATGCATTTAATTAATGCAAATCAGATTTGACAACATATCTGGGCACCACAGTTAAGTTGGATGATCTTTTTGATGGCATTGCAGCAAACTGATAATATTAAAAATTGTCAAAATAAGAATCTCTATCAAGGTACTATTAGGAAGAGAATAATAATTGGAAAAAATGGGGATCCATTACAAGGGTCAAAAGATAGTTAGTTAATTAGTGGAGTGGAGGAGTTGTGGAAGGGTGGTGGGTGAGGTGTGGGGACTGGGCCTGTGAACCACAAGATGGTTTGTCTGGTTATGGGTTTCTCATATATCTGAAATACCTCATGTGATGCTACCCTAATGGCCGGTGGGTATATTTGATCAAATTCACAAACTCAGTGCTGTCTGTTGATGGTGCCTGGTGGTGCTGCTGTGTGTGAATATGCATTGTATATAATATTTGTCAAACTGAGACATCTTCTAAAAACTCTTCATCCACAATTTGATAACCTTTTAATTTTCATGTCAGAAAAGAAGAAGAAAAAATCATCATTGTATATTGTAATCAATAAAATGCCTAACAGAGACAATACAATAAACAATATATAGATGGAGGGGAGGATTTGGTTGTGGGGCAGCAAAAGCACTTAGAATTACAAATGCCTCGGTAGGTGCATATTTTGCTGTGGTTCACAATCTTCTTCACAACCAAAACATATCCATCTGTCACTTATCAGAGATCATGAGACGCAAAACGCCACGGGTGTGACAAAGTTCCAGATTCCAAAATTTTCTCTCTTATACTTTCTCAATCACCATCACACCTTTATATTTATTTTCACAATAATTTCCAGTTTATATATCTAAATAAAACACAATTTTAATGAGCCCTAGAATCTTCCACCCATCAAATGGGATAAGCTTAATCTCTTCTCTACCTTTATCATAACATGCATCAATCACTCTCGAACTTGTAGTGGGGAGGTCACTTTAATTTGTGTGTAACATTGGTTTAGCTTAGGCTCTCTGCCTGCCTATAGAAGGGGTGGCTCCCAAGACTTGGACAAATCCAAGTTGTGAGAAGAACACCTTCAATTCAGTTTCCCAGCTTTCTTTATCAGCATTAGTATTTTCGTGGTCATTTCCCTATTGAAACTTTAGAAAATGGTTGGTATTCAGTTTCGTTTCTGAGATGTATACTCGATATCCTGGTTGTTAATGCAAGTTGAAATATTTCTTCTTCCGCTCTTATATAAACACATGCAAATTGAACACATTAATGTCTGCTTTCCTCAGGACGGGAAAACGAGTTGGACTGTTGCCGATGCTGTGGACTACAAAGGATTCCCTGCTGACAAGTCCAGAACTGGCGGTTGGGTGGCCGCCGTGCTTATATTAAGTATACGCTCTTACTTTCGTGATTGAAGAATTTCTTCACCATCATTATAGCTTGTTAACTTCAAAGTTAATTCCCTTTGAATCAGTCAGTGATCATATTTGATCAGAAGTGATGTTGGTTGTTTGATCAGTTAATTAGTACAGCTTAACTGTGATCGAGTTCGAGTAGGAGGTTCATGCAAAGGTGATGGCTGGGGGTGAGAGATGGGTTTTAGGGGTTGTACGTAACATGTTTAATCAATGAGGGAAACATTCTATTTCTGGACAAAATAATAATCAGCACATTCGGCAGCACAAATGCATGAAAACAATTCTCTTGCCAATTACTCAAATAACCCTTTTGCTTATTTCAACTATATGGCACCTAATTAAAAAAATTCATTATTTTTGTGTAGGTATTGAAATATGCGAAAGGCTTTCAACCATGGGAATCGGAGTTAACTTGGTGACATACCTTGTTGGAACAATGCATTTGCCAAGTTCAACTTCAGCCAATATCGTCACAGATTTTGTGGGAACATCCTTTCTCCTCTGTTTGCTTGGAGGCTTCCTGGCCGATTCCTTTCTTGGCAGATACAACACTATTGCAATCTTTGCTTCAATACAAACACTGGTTTGTTTTTTAGACTATGTGCATTTTATTATTGGTGCATGCACATGCATCTTTTTTTTTCGAATGAAAAGGTTTTTTAATCCACCATGATCACGGTATACTATATATGTTTCTCTTAAGTTTCTTGGTGATATGTTCTAACCATTGCCTTCTTCTTGTGCTCCATAATAATTAACTGTGATCTAATCTTAATCAAATAATTCTGATGCAGGGAATGGTTGCATTAGCAATAGCAGTAAAACTGCCACAGCTACGGCCGCCTCTTTGTCACGCTACTGCTGCCAGCAACAACTGCAAGCAAGCCAACGGGTTCCAAATGGGAATTTTTTACCTGGCTTTATACACAATTGGACTAGGGATTGGTGGGCTGAAATCAAGTGTTTCAGGATTTGGAACTGACCAATTTGACGAGAAAGATGACAAAGAGAAAGCCCAGATGGCCTATTTCTTCAATAGGTTTTTCCTCTTCATTAGCACAGGAACTTTGGTGGCAGTCACAATCCTTGTCTACATACAAGATGAGGTGGATCGGAGCTTGGCCTATGGAATATGTTCCATTTCAATGTTTATAGCCATCTTACTATTTTTGGCTGGGACTAGAAGATACAGATACAAGAAAAGCTCGGGAAGTCCCATAGTTCAAATTTTGCAGGTTATTGTGGCTGCTATAAGGAAGAGAAAGATGACCACTCCAGTTGATGCAAACTCATTGCATGAGAATTCTCATGAGGCTTCAAGAATTGATCACACTGATCAGTTCCGGTAAGTTCGGTATTTATTTTATGGGAAATGATGAAGTGGGGTTATTGGTTACTGAGCAGGCTTGCTCTGCAAGATAACATGGACTATTCTTTTTTCTTTGTTCTTTTCTTTTTGCCACAAATCTTCGATTGCCTGATATCTTGCATTTCATGTCATGTGGTTCAATTTTTGGATAGTTTCTTGGACAAGGCTGCTATTCTGGCACAAGGAGATTTTGAGGAGAGAAATGCTGCAGGTTCCAGTTCCCCAAACCCTTGGAAGCTACGGTCAGTTACAAGGGTGGAGGAGGTGAAAATGATGGTAAGACTAGTTCCAATATGGGCCACAACCATCATGTTTTGGACTGCCTACGCACAGATGATCACCTTCTCTGTAGAACAAGCATCCACCATGCAGAGGTCAATCGGAAAATTTCAAATCCCAGCCGGCTCTCTTACAGTCTTCTTTGTGCTAGCCATAATGATCACTCTGGCTTTCTATGACCGTCTCATCATGCCGCTTTGGAAGAAATGGAATGGCCAACCAGGTATATGATTATTTCTACTAAGAAAAAAATACTAATGGCAATCTTAGTTTTATGATAATAATATGATGATTTTCTTACCCTTGATTGTTACTTTACATAACAATCTTGAATGCAAGTGCATACAAGAATAAATTACACTGCAGTTCTTGAAAACATTTTTTCTTTGCGATAGGTTTCACCAATCTACAGAGGATGGCAATTGGCCTTGTCCTATCAACAATTGGAATGGCAGTGGCAGCATTATCCGAGAGGAAGAGGTTGTCAGTGGCTAGAGCAATGGGAGGCACCACTAAAACTCTCCCTATCAGTGTGTTCTTATTGATCCCACAGTTCTTCCTGGTGGGTTCTGGTGAAGCTTTCATATACACCGGCCAGCTCGATTTCTTCATAACCAAGTCACCCAAAGGAATGAAAACTATGAGCACAGGCCTCTTCCTCAGCACTTTATCCCTTGGTTTCTTTATTAGTAGCTTCTTGGTTTCAATTGTGAAGGCGGTGACAGGAAGCAAAGATGGGCAAGGATGGCTTACAGACAATATAAATTATGGGAGGCTTGATTGTTTCTATGGACTTTTGACCGTTCTAAGCGTAATCAATTTTGTAGTTTATCTTGTTTGTGCAAGGTGGTACAAGACACACGAACAGTATCCACCTGCTTTGCAGATGACTTCTACTACTGATAAAGCTAATGGTTCCTCTGCTGAGGATAGGTGCTAGCTAATCGGTGGTGTTCATTAATTTATGTTTGCTTTGAGAATCTTAATAGAAATGAGGGTGTGATTATTTCAAGTGTGTCGTATACTACAAGTGTAAATGTATATACACATGCATCAAAATGACATGAAAGCCACTGCTACAAGCCCACATAAAAATAACATGTGGCAATTTTAATAATGCAATGATGAAAGTTTCAACTTGAATTAGCATAATAATCTCATATTAACTGCCTATATTAGGAACATGATAAAAGTACCGGTGAAAATAAAAATATAACTGTTTGTAGATTAATATATATTACACAGTTCAGATATGAACGAATTTGGACAAATATACCATTAGCAGTTAATTCTGCATATTTGGCTCATTCCCATACTATTTTGGTTGCCTACTGCAGGAGTGATTATAGAATACTATGGAAAAATCAAAGATTCTTTTAATAAGTTATTTTGAAATAATATTCCAACATATATTGTCCACGTTTATTCCTTGTAAATCTCTTCCTCTTATATCTCTATCTAGTCTCTTTGTACTGATCAACACTTGAAATCAGTAGAAAGAGACTAGATAGAGATATAGCTCTATCAAGATAAGAGGAAGAGATTTAAACAAGAGATAATTACATCAGATAAGCTAAGTGTTTGGCTTGGATTGGGTTTGTCCTTCACATTTGTCTTCCTCTCTCTCACTTTCTTTCCAAAAGTAGGATGGAGTTGTACATGAGATGGAATCAATCAAGCATTTGCAACTGTTGTTTTTAATCTGTACAAGTAGTTTTCTTATGTTTTGGCCTGTTCTGTACAAGTAGTTAAAGCAGTTAAAGACTACATGTTGTTACTGTTGAGAGTGTCTGTCCCACATTGAAAAGTTGAGAAACCTAGCAAGGGTTTATAAGGAGTTGGGCTACTCCCCCATTGCCAATTGGTTTTGGGGTGGAATCTCAACTTTCTTCAGTTACTAAGCTGTTTGTTGTTTAAAGCCTTTGTTCAATTTATATAAATACACGGTTTGTAATCTTGACAATCATCAAATAGCAAGCATTTCATTTCATAGCCTCATCAAATCCAAGAAGCTGCCTAATCTCCATCTTTATCATAGCAAGCAGCAACCACTCTCAAACTCATATCTTGGGGGCCAAGTTTTCTTCAGGAAGGGAAAATGAGTTCCATTGTTGCAGTCTCGCAAATGATGTTGACTACAAAGGGCACCCTGCTGACAACTCCAAAACTGTTGGTTGGCTTACCACCGCGCTTATAATGGGTGCGTGTGTAGTGTTCTTATTTTCATCTATGAACAAATAGAAGGTTCATACAAATTAAGGTGCACAGAGATGTGTTTTGGGGGTTTAACAGATGCTTACTGCATGAATGAGGGACACATGGTAGCCAAAAATATTCCATAATTAGCACATTCAGCACAAATGCATGGAACAATTGTTCTGTCACCACCTATAAAGTTTCTTACTTTAAAGTCAAGCCAGTTCTTAATTATTGCATTCAACTAATTATTATTATTATTTTGCAGGAGTTGAATTATGTGAAAGGCTTTAAACTATGGGAATAGCAGTGAACCTGATGGAGATTTTGAGGACAGAAATGCCATCGAGGCTGTCTTGGAAGCTTAGAGACCAGTTACAAAGGTGGAGGAGGTGAAAATGAAGATAAGACTACTTCCCATATGGGCCACAACCATCATATTTTGGACTTGTTATGCACAGATGATGACCTTCTCATTCAGTACAACAAGCATCCACCATCGGAAGCTTTCAAATCCCCGCTGCCTTCCCACCATTATGAATCTATGATCACTCTGGCTTTCAATGACCGTGTCATCATACCTCTCTGGAAGAAATGGAACGGCCAACCAGAGGTACATATATGAATACTCCACAACAAACTGATTACTAATTTTGGCAAAGTTAAGTGTGTAAAAGACTCAGTATGAATTTATCCATCTCCATCTGCATGCAATAGGTTTCACCCATCTACAGAGAATGGCAATTGGGCTTGTGCTATCAACTGTTGGGATGGGAGCAGCAGCACTATGTGAGAGGAAGAGGTTAGCAGTGGCTAAAGCCAATGGTGGATCAAATCCTCTGCATATTAGTGTTTTCTTCTTGCTCCCACAGTTCATTCTGGTGGGTTCTGCTAATGCTTTTGTATACAATGGCCAGCTCAATTTCTTCATAACCGAATCGCCTAAAGGAATGAAAACTATGAGCACAGGCCTCTTCGTCAGCTCATTGTCCTTTGGTTTCTTCTTTAGCAGCCTCTTGGTATCGATTGTGAATAAGGTGACAGGAGGCAAAGATGGATGGCTTGCGAGCAGTATAAACAATGGCAGGCTTGACACCTACTTCTGCTGCTAATGCTTCCCCTGTTGAGCAGATATCAGTGCATGTGGCTTTTTTTTTGTTCCCAAAATGCACCACATTTTTTAAAGCAAAAGATACCTCAAAGAAAGCTGTATCTCATCATACATGCCTATTTCCTAATGTTGGAGGTGGTTCTTCACAAGACAGGTTTGAAAATTGGCCGCGCAAAGATCTTCCTCTGGTTTGCCTGTCGTTAAGTTTGAATGGCCATTGAGAATGCGATTTCATCCCTTTCTTTGTCATTGATCACAAAGGAATTGATGTTCTGTTTTATATTTCTGTCCAATCTGTAATTTGTTCCTGTCACAGTATAATTTCCCCTTGACATTTTAATTACCAGAAAGCTTATGCGCTTTTCATTCAGTCAAAAAACATGAGCGCCATCATTCTCATCTAATTCCTCCGTGATTTGGGGGAGGAGAAGCAAATCCCTCGCCAACATTTTTAACAGTCGTCTTTCTTTCAAAGCTCAAATGCAGCGTGGCATCAAAAGGAGACAAATTGTCAATTTTTTTTTGCAGTAACGTAGGAAAAGGAGGGTGTTTCTCACTTCAGCTGCTAATGCAAAAAGACCAAACTTGCCAAAAGACTGAGTCCTGACTAAAAGACTCCCAATACAAAAATTCAAAGTAAATGGCCTTATGCATCAGTTCTCAATCCAAAGTAGTTCAAAGTACAGCGTGTAACTGACAGTAATGCATCAGTTAAATTCTTCATCTAAACCGTCTCAAAGCATCAAAACTGTTTGCCAGATCAGACAGCTTTCGCTTAAAGAAAATGATTAGTAGACTTTACACAAAAGTTCCAGATCACTTTTTTACATTTTTTTGGATCAAACAAGCAGTATGTAGCATTTAATGTCCTGGAAGAAAACCACCAGCTGATAGCAACAACATGAGAAGAAACCCTAAATCCATTTTGATGAATTTAGTAAAACCATCTGTTATCAAGTGCCTGAATTTATATGAGGATCAACCAAAAGGAAGATGCAAGAAATGCTGGACCAACAGCTATAAAATTGGTGTTAACTCAACCCAAATTTACTAGACTTCTTTCCAGCTCAAAACATACTAAAAATAATCATATAGTGACATTACGTATAGAAAAAGAACAGTGACGACATGTAAATATTATAAGCAAAATACAAGAAGGAACCGAGTCGATATAGATAAAGAGTACATAATACAGTAAGCATATGAATAAATATGCTCAATGACTTCAAGCTCTCTTTGTAAACTAATTATGAGTCTCAAAACATTTATAATTTCCTGCTCTCAAAGATAAATTGTCACAATGCACGGTAAGGATGACCACTGCTAAATTGAACTATTAGATATAGAACAAAAAATGACTAAGAACAAAGAGTGAGTAACACATAATCATCTAACACCACATAACCAGAACAATAGATGCTCAAGTCTAAACAATCAACAACCCAATTGATACATGGGGCTTCCCGTTGCTCTTTCTCGATTTTCTTCAATGTAATTCTCTATTTCTTTCTTTATCGGATATTTCCTTTTTATCAGATACAATGTTGAAGTTACCCATTAGCAAATCAATCCTGGGTTTCATTCTTCTTTCCAGTCCCTTCTCCATCTCTCTCCTCCAATAACCTCCCGGCCTCCAGATTATCCTGCTGAGACTTCCTCTGCGCCTCTAGGGCCTTAAGTGCCTGCAATTTGGCATGATTGTAATAGGCAACCCCGAGGAAAGCGATCAGATATCCGATCAAATTCACGGGTGTCACCGTATCCTTAATCACGGACCATGAAAACGCAATCAAAAGCCAATCTTTGACAACCCCAGCAACATTCATAGTCAAAGCAGAGGTCTTTCCCACCAACAGAAACACAGCAAGATTCAGAGCAAAGGCACACACCGAATTCGTCCCAAAAATGACGAAATCGAAATGAAAACTGGAGCTCTCCCTCAACACTGGCAACTCAACAATAACCCAGGGTACGCACAAGAACACAAAGCAACATGGCGCAACATAGTAAAGTGAAGTAATGGGGTTCAAACTAATACCCTTAGCATTAAGCAGAATCTGAATAAGAACCAACCTCGTGGCCTCAAAAGCCACAGCTAAAAGCTGCAACGCCACTCCCCAAGTATTGAATTTGGCTTCTCCATAAGCGGCGATGGCGACACCAACAGAGATCGAAACCATGTTGAGCATAGTGTCACTTTTGAAAGGGTCCTTCTTGAACACAACCCCAATTGAATAAACCGCAACGGGCATCAGGGCTTTGAGCATTTGGATGAAGGAGACGGAGAGGAATATGTAGGCGGAGTTTGAGAACCACAGCGAGAGGGCGTACAGGGCTCCGATGGGCACGACAGACTTGAGGTAGAGGTCACGTGACATGGAGACAGGCTCGACGAGCTTGAAGACGCGGACGAGGAGGTAAGCTAGGGATGAGCAGAAGCCCATATGGATCATGGTGAGCGAAATTGGGAAGGGCCAATTGTACATCTTGTGATCGAGGATGTACTTGTTGTAAACAATCACGGTGAAGCTGAGGAAGATCCATATGGCGACGTAGGTGTAGGAGAGGAGCACCTTCTTCACCACCCCTTCTGAAAGTCCCATTTTTCACAGAGAAATTTGGTACTTGATTGGATCTGAAACCCTAACCCTGAGACTCCCACTGACCCTGGGATTTAAATAAGGGGTTTTGGTTTGTAAGGAGGAGGAGACTTCTCAAATCCCAATATCTCTTCTCAACTGTGGAACGGAAATGCGAGGAGGAGTTAGAATTTGGGCTTTGATACGATATGGGCTTTGTGACGAGAGTTTGATTCTAACTTCACTTCCATTTTCATTTTTTTTTTCCTGGAGTTTTGATTATGTGATTTAAACTTCCAAATATATATTTTTTTTTTTTGGCGTTGGTCCAAGTACTCGTATTTGCTTCCATTTCTTATTCGTCTTTATATTTATTTCTATTTTCAGGTAGTAATCAAATCTAAATATAATGTAACGTATTTCAACATTATCAAACAAAAATAAGTAATGCATTTCAACACCTACCAAAATAACCCCCAAATATTATTTAAATATCATCTTGTCGGTATTAACGATATAATTCCAAAATGTCGGTATTAACGATATTATTTTAATCTATATTTTACTACGTGTCGACTTGGGTTAGTAGTTTTGAAGTAATCAATGTGTCTATAGACTCTAGAAATTGTGTTGCTCTTCAATATCCCTAATTGCAAATATTAAATTTAAAATAAAATTTTAAAAAAAAATTATATAAAAGATATTGAGAAAGAGGATAATTTTTTTTTATAAAAAAAAGATGAGAATTAAACACAAAACTTCGGATACATTTATAAGTAATTAATTTTAATTACTTGAATTACAAGTTTATGATGTAAAGATGAAAAGATGAAAAGAAAAAGAAAAAAAAAAGGCACATGTTGAGAGGCTAGTTAGTCAAGTTACAACTTTACGTATATATTTCATTGAGTAATTGGGAAACCAAATTAGAGATCTTTATTAATATCAGAGATATGAACCAAGCAGGGTTGGTTTATACTAGTTGTGTTTGTGTTAGATTGTTGACTGAGACTTTTTTGGGTTGAAACTTGAAACTTAGAAAAAAAATTTGATCAAAGAAACTTAGAAATTGAACAAAGAAAAGGCTGAATTGCCTCGCAATCAAGGGCGAAGACCCAGGAGGGTGAGTCGTTGACACTTCTCTTGCGTGCGTTGAAGGGTTCTTTTTTCACGCTGCTGTCACCTGACTTGAAGGTGCATTCTGCCATTGACTCCATCAGCAGAAAAGTTGACATCCTTTCACCCCCTTCAACGGTTCGTCCCCCCACCCCAACTTTTGGATTCGTTGCCATTTGTTTGTTTGGTCTGATTCAATTGACATCAAATGGGCCTTGGGTTTCGTGAGCCGAACTGCAGCTGGATCAAAAGTTTTTCCAGATTCTTGATTCTTAAGAAAGAAAATTAGCCCAATATTTCTTAGGATATAATTTCCCCACTTTCCTTTTCTCCATTTACACTCCATTTTGCTTTTTAATCAATTTTGTTTTTTCTCTTTCCGATTCTTCCCTTACCTTACATTAATTTCTTTTTACTTCACTTTTATATTAGTTCTTTTTCTTTATACTTAATTTTCCAACTTGCATTCCATTTTCAGTATAAAAAATTTCCTTTAATCGAGTAAGAAATTAAGTTTTTTTTCCCTTTAATACTGAAAATGGAGTGTAAGTTGGAAAATTAAGTATAAAGATAAAGAAATAATATAAAAGTGAAGTAAAAAAGAAATTAACGTAAGATAAGGATAGAATAGGAAAGAGAAAAAACAAAATTGATTAAAAAGTATTAAAAAGTAAAATGGGGTATAAGTGGAGAAAATGAGAGTGGGGAAATCAACTCCTTATTTCTTAATGGCCAAAGATTGCAAGGCTCCTCCCATAAAAAAGAACTTGTATATTATAAGAATATCACTGTTTTGCTATTCCGACCAACTACGTTCTATAATCATTATAAATAACATAACATGATTGATCGGGATATCTCCTAATATAGAAGTTTTTCTCCCTCCAAATAACCTATTGTTTTTTGTGGCAGCCACTCTCCAATTTAATAACAACGCCTGTGGCATTTCACATCAAAACAAACAAAATCCAAAATGGGATACGATTGCAAATGCAAAACAAAATGTTGAGAAATTACACAAGACACATTTATACAGGTAGGTTAATACAATCAAATTTGTTTTAAACCAGAAGGGGGAATTCTAAAAAGGCTAATTGCGAATCATGTGGAGTGAAACAAAGTGTCATGACTGCTCAATTTCACTACTTTTTCTGAGCACAAGGAGTGCAGTGAGTGTCTTTAACCTTTAACGCATAGGGCCCAGAGAATTATTTTTTCCAGCTAATTAGCTCTCTCTCTGGCCAATGGCCATTGATTGACAACCGCGTGTTTGATTCTTCTTTAATAGAAAGATGAGTCACACCACAACCTCACTGCACTGCTAAAAAGTCACTCTCCAACAAAAAAAAAAAGAGTTTTCTACTACTGCACGCACACAGTCCCTCTCAACAGTAACTTCTCTCTCCCAACAGTATGCAATCACATTCCCAGAAGAATCTCATGCTTTACTGTTTAGCAACTAAATAAATCACATTCTCGTATAAATCATAATCACATTTACCCACTAAACCACAGAAAAAGAAAAGAAAAAAAAGAAAGAGAATGCATACCAAATAGGTTCATTCATTCCGTGAACCCCACCAACCAGATTGTGCAACCAACACCATCTATCGGCACAGATCCCCCAGGCGCACTTGCCCATATCCTGCGCCGCCCAACCCAGAAAAAAAAACCCACACTTGATAAATTTATCGTTTTGTTTAGAAGCAGAAGAAAGGATTTCATTTTTCTTCTTGCTAGCTAGCCTAGTTTTGGTTTTTGTTCTTCTGTTTTTGTCGGTATGGAGACCAACAAGCCACAGAAGAAAAAGAAGTGGTTTTTACCATTGGTGCTTTCTTTGTTGTTATCTACTCTGCTCATATTTATCACTGTTTTCACTTCTTCTAGCTCATCTTCTTCAAGATTGTACAAGACCCGTGTGAAGAATGAGCTCCCGCATTTTGTGGAGTCCAAGTTAAAGGTTTCAGCTACCTCCAAAGACCCAGTACCAAGACTGGCTTACTTGATCTCTGGCTCAATGGGCGACGGCGAGAGCTTGAAGAGGACCTTGAAGGCTCTGTACCATCCCAGGAATCAATATGCAGTGCATTTGGACCTCGAGGCTTCGGCTGAGGAGAGGATGGACTTGGCCAAGTTTGTCAAGAATGAGCCGCTGTTTACCAAATTGGGTAATGTTAGAGCGGTTGTGAGGGCCAATTTGGTAACTTACAGAGGCCCTACTATGGTTACCAATACACTTCACGCTGCGGCGATTTTGTTCAAGGAAGGTGGAGATTGGGATTGGTTTATCAATTTGAGTGCTTCCGATTATCCTTTAGTGACCCAAGATGGTAAATTTAACGGCCTTTTAATAGCAAAATGTGATTTGATTCTTTGACTGTTAGTCTCTGCTTTGGGTGATTTTTTATAATTAGCTTGGAATTGGTTCTTTGAAGGACCTGTCTAATGTGTAGAATGGGTAATTTATGAATTTTTTTTTCTCCTGTTCTTTTTCTTTAATGTGGGTAGGAACTGGATTTTGCTTATTATGGGTTTGCATTGACTGTTTTGACTAAGTTGTCTCGCATTTATGCATCGGATTTTGTGATTTTGTTCTGCATTTATGCATTGGATTTCTTGGTTTCCCAAGCTTATTTTTGGTAAGTACAATATAACTACTTTTGCTCATTGCTAGCTGTACTGGCGTTCATATATTGCTCTTGTTTTATAATACAAAGAAGATGAGGGAAGTGGGGCTTTACTCTTTGCAGTTTTATCTGTGATCTCTGGCATTGGTGCAATTTGTTAGTTTCTATGCTGATTTCATTTGATTGCCCATTTCTGCCCCTGTCATATCCTAACGCCTTAGTTTATATGTCTGTCTTTCCTGTACCACAGATCTGCTTCATGTCTTGTCATCCATTCCAAGAAATCTTAATTTTATTGAGCATACCAGTGACATTGGCTGGAAGGAGTATGTGGCTCATCTTTCCTCCTTTTGTAGTAATTTTTTGTTTTGATTAAGTTTACAAGTAGGACACACTAAATCTGCAAAGTTATATATGACTGCTCCTTAAAGGTTTGAATTCCATGAACCCCACAGGAATCAGAGGGCAAAACCCGTTATAATAGATCCAGGGCTGTATAGCCTGCAAAAATCAGATGTATTCTGGGTTTCAGAGAAAAGGAGCGTGCCAACTGCATATAAGTTGTTTACAGGTGAAAATGTCTGCTTCCAGTGCTCTCATTTTGATTTGATCTGTCTACCTGTTGTTTCCTTCACCTACTTTATGATTATTGATCTTTTACAGGATAGAATGCCAAAATATCTTTCAAATTTGTGAATAACTAGATAAACCCAATGTTTTAACAAACGATGGTTTAAGGCCAATACCCTAGAAAGTTTTATGATATTGCTATTATTGAAACAATTATCTGCATATAAGAGAAGTTTAAATTATTTGTAGCATACATCTGGTTGGCGTGTTATATCTCATAAATGGCTTTCAAATTAGAAAGTGCACTGCTTATACTGTTCTGTAACATAAGTTACATGAGGGTGTAGTTTCATTTTCCTTTTGCCTTTGTGTTTATGCACACAATACCTTAATTTTCTTGTCATCTGTCATTGACTCATTACTATAGGAAGAATTTGAATTGATTTATTCAACTTTAAAGTCCCTCTGTACATTTAACTATTACCTGATTCTGGATTCTGCGCAATAATTTCCTCAGGTTCTGCTTGGATGATGCTCTCCCGCCCTTTTATAGAGTATATTTTATGGGGTTGGGACAACCTCCCAAGGATAGTGCTTATGTATTATGCCAACTTTCTTTCTTCACCAGAAGGGTATTTCCACACTGTCATCTGCAATGCTGAGGAGTTTCGGAACACTACTGTGAACCATGATCTCCACTTCATATCATGGGACAACCCACCAAAACAACATCCACATTTCCTCATCATTGATGACTTCCAGCGGATGGTAGACAGCAATGCTCCCTTCGCCAGGAAGTTTGGCAGGAATGTGTCAGCTCTTGACAAGATCGACTCTGAGCTTTTAGGCTGCAATGCCAATGGATTTGTACCAGGCGGATGGTTCAGTACTCAAGGAAATGCAAATGTAACTGTTCCAGATTACAATTTAAAAAACATCACCACTCTTAGGCCGGGTCCAGGTGCTGAAAGGCTAAAACGTCTCATCACTGGTTTGATATCTGCAGAGGATTTTCATGCAAAGCAATGCACCTGACTCCTGAGAGTCCAGATAAACTACTTTGCTAATTTTAGAAGTTATACCAAGTAAGCAATGCCGATTATTGATCTTAGTTTATATAAATAATGGCCAATAGGCCATATAGTAGGCTATAGGAACTTAGTGGGGAAGAGAAGTTACTAGCTACCATCATATATATATGCATTACCATATCTGGTAAAATTCAACACCATATTCTTCAAAATCTGAAGGTGTATTTTAATGTATTATTTTATTTACATAATGATAAGTGATGTTGAATCATGCTTATATGCCAAGTTTCTGCAGGTTATCATAAAGAGAAAATAATATAAACATAAAAATTAAAAATTTAGATTCAAACAGTTTATATAGTCTTTCAACAGCACATACGCAGCTGCAGTTAGCATTCAAGCCAGGGGAGAAGATGACTAGCTAGCCCTGCTCATTGCCATAGTTTACTGATATAATTATAAAGAAATGCTTTTTTCGCTCTTTAAGAGAAAAATATTCCAACAATTACAGCCTTACAGGTTGTCTGTTATATACTTAGTACAAATTAACCTGTAAATATACAAGACTAATTTGTTATAGACTTGCTGTAAATAAATTGAAAGAATCATTCATCTTTCTGTTGCATTATTCGACTTAAACAGTATTTTGAGGTAAAAAATGGCATGTTGGCATTAAAATATGAAAAAACAAAAAATACATTAAGAGAGGTTGTTAGTCAACCCCCCGAATTCACCATTTTACAAAGAGAGTCGAGCATATTAACTATTTCTTCTGCTTGTGGATGACAAATATTACCAATAAGGAATTCTTCAGCCACTCCATTTAACTCTATCACACTGGAACCAGGTTTCTTCTTCATTCCCGCTTCCGAGATCATATTTCTGACTCTGTTTGCCTCCAATTCCATGCCAGCAGCCTTGTACATATTATATGAAAGAACACGAATGCCACAGTCAGCTACTCCCATCTCAGCGAGCTTTTTCCAAATTCTGTCCCCAACTTCAACATTCCCATGAACTCTGCATGCAGCCAGTAATGCTCCCCACACATTGACATCCCCTCTTCGTAGTCCTCCCATCTTGACCTCTGTAAACTTCTCAGCTTCCTCCACCAAGCCTGCTCTTGCCAAAAGGTCAACAACACATCCGTAGTGCTCAAGCCCAGGTTTAACCCCGTAAAGGTTACCCATTTGATCAAACAACTCAAGGCCCTTGTCAACCATTTTTGCATGCGTACAAGCCGTGAGAACAGCAACAAATGTGGTCTCTGTGGGTTGAACGCCACCATATTCAACCATTTTATTAAAGAGTTCAAGTGATTTCCTTGCATCACCATTCATTGCAACCCCAGCAATCATAGCATTCCACGCTCTAGCATCCTTATTAGAAATGCCCTCAAAAACCCACAAAGCTGCTTCCACATATCCGCATTTTGAGTACATATCAACCAGTGCAGTGGCCAATATCGTATTTGATTCAAGATTGTACCTTTTAGCATATGAGTGGACCCACAAGCCTTGCGTGACCGCACCAAGATGAGCAGAGGCAGTGAGAACACTAACAAGAACTGACTCATTAGGCTTTGTGCCTACTTCTTGCAATTGCCTAAATAAAGATAGCACCTCCCTGAAGTGGCTCACCCGAGAATACGCAGCCATCATTGCACTCCATGATATAGCATTCCTCTCAGGCATTTCATCAAACAAAGCTCTAGCATTTTCAACGTCCCCCGCCTTTCCATACCCGTCAATCATTGCCGTCCACACCACCACATCCCTTTTCGGACTTTTATCGAACACCAACTTTGCAGTTTCCATGTCGTGGATAACAGAGTAAAACTCGATCAGCGAGCTAAGAACAAAAGGGTCGTCCCGGTACCCAAATTTAAAAACATGGGCATGAACTAAGCGACCACTCAGCTTAGAATTCGGGATGAGAATTGTACACGCTTTGATCAATGGCGGAAAAGTATAGTTATTAGGAACAAACCCATAATTCAGCATGTCTAAATAACACAAAATGGCGGGAATTGGCGTATGCGATTGAAGAACATATCCTCTGATCATGGTGTTGTACATGAAGGTGTTGCGGTGATGATGATGCTTGAAGATTGAGCAAGCGTAGCAAAACAAGGAAGCATCTTTCGAGGTTGCGGCGGCCGAGAGGAGCGGTGCAATTGCGTAGGGGTTTTCCGGTAGACGACATGTGAGGAGGTGGGCGTAGATTTGCTTGAGTTGGTTTAGGGTTTTGCATTTTTGTGAGAGGGAAACAAGGTCGTTGCTTTTAACGGTTTTCTGAATCATCTGAAATGGGCGGGATATATCTTTGGGGTATTTTGCCTCAAGAGGAGGAATGAGATAGCTTGATAAAAATTATTAAAGCCGTCTGATTTAACGACTTTATAAAGTCAAAGCACTTATCAGTTGCAGCCGAGTCAACCCAAATGGACCTTTCCTGGACCTAGCCTTGTTTGCTCTTATAAGTTGGTTATGGTTTTTTATATAACATCAAATTGAAGCCAAATGTGACTCAAAAATATGGACCTTTGATGGATTTGTGAAACTACTGCAGATAAAATTAGTGCTAGCTGGTAGAAGCAAACGATTATGATTAGAGCAAATGCTCATTTTCTAATTTATGAATCAAAGCAAAATGAGATTTCTTTCGCTCACTCATCTGCAATCTTAACAATTTTCTTTCCCGTGTTATGGCCACGGAAAAGTCCAATGAAAGCAGATGGAACACTCTCCAGACCATGTGAGATGTCTTCAATGGCATGCAATTTTCCAGTACGAAGATGATCTGTGGTGGTGGAAAGAAAATCCGAATAGACATTCATTTGATCAGCTGCTAAAAACCCCTGGATCTTGATTCTCTTGTATATAACATCTAGCATATCTGGTGCAGCTCTCTTTCCAGCATCTGTATACTCAGAGATTACGCCACAAACAGCAACTCTACCAAAAGTGTTCATGTTAGAAACTGCTGCTTCTAGCATCTCAGCCCCCACATTGTCAAAGTATATGTCAATACCATCGGGGAAGTACCTGTAGATCAAAACATTAGAACACACAGCAGAATCAATTTATTTTAGGCATGTATTATTTAGCTTCAAAGCCACCAGCCTTGAGTATATAAGGGAGGATTTACTTTTTGAGGGTTGACTTTAAATCAGACTCTTCCTTGTAGTTGAATGCGTCATCAAATCCGAGCTTTTCCTTGAGCAGTGCTACCTATAACAAGTTGAACTTAAGAACTCAACCTCATAATAATACAACATTCAGACCAATTTTCATTCACACAGTAGTATACTGACTGAAAAGTTTTGTAAGGTCACCTTTTCTTTGGTTCCTGCACAGCCAACAACGTAGCAACCAAACAGTTTTGCATACTGTCCGACCAAATTCCCAACTGATCCAGAAGCTGCAGACACGAAAACTTTCTCCCCCTTCTTAGGCTTGCATACTTCGAAAAATCCACCATATGCTGTAAGTCCACTGAAACCTGTAAGAGCAAATTAATGCATTGTTATGAAAAACAAATCCTCTGCATAGCACTCCACTGCCGTAGTTGAGAGATTGGCAGAAACTTAAGGTTTCTCAGCTGCCACTGATCAGACACAAAGACAACTGTAACTGTTCTAATTTCTCATCTAACAATTTACTAATGGCCAAATTAATGTACATCTCATCCCTACCGTTCTGCGCATTTGCTGTTGAAGTTGTTTTGGCTCAAGATTCAAAACCATATCCATTATACAAGAATTGCAAAACAACAATGCAAAATTGAAGATGAAGACGAAGATGTTAAGTGGTAAATTGGTAATTAATTACCTAGAATTCCAACTTGGTGAGACAGTGGAAATCCCAAAGGATCCAATTTCCTAAACATGCTTCCTTCTTTTAGTACACTATACTCTCCCCAAGTGATAAGCCCCACAACCAAGTCATCCTTCTCAAATTCAGGATTCCCAGAAGCCACAACTTTTGCCACACCATAAGCATCAATAGTCTGTCATCATAAAACAAATGAAAAGATATTTATATATAAAAAAACAGCCATTTCAGATTCTGTAACAAACAAAACTCTCAACTCAGAAACATATGCTTCAATGAATTGTATGACAGCTTACTTCTCCTGGAGTGATGGCAGCTGCAAAGCCTATAGCTTTCTGTGAGGAGCTGAAACTTTTCATGCGGTTTAGCTGGTAAGGGTCAATTGACACATACAGATTCTTCACAATAATATCACTGGAACCAGGGTCAACTGATATATCAAGGGCTAAGGTCCTGAGCTCAAAGTTTGACTCCTTGGGTTCACCGTCTATCTGGTTCTTTATTGTTATGTACCTATTGGCTACCTCCATCTTCACTTGCCTTGCCTCTTTGTGAAAAGCTCAGTGGATAACATGTATATATACACTACAGAGATTGCAGTAGGAAGGATAATCTCATTGGATGCTTCTAACAGGCTCATTAGAAAAATTAAAAAGCCGGACAGTTTGTTGTTCACGCTGATATAATAACCATTTGACCTTCTCAGACCAAAATTAAAAAAACAGAGCTTAAAAAAAGAATTGGATGTAAGAAAGACAGAGCCTTGAACAGAACGACGAGGCATTTTTTTTCCTGTACCTGGTAGCATTTTCAATGCATAAAATGAATTAGAAAATAAAATTATTAAAGAAAAACCATTGGTTGATTATTTATCCTATGCACGTACATTACATACTGTCCACAAGAATGGAATAACATGCTCATAAAAATCCACAAGAATGGTTGATTCTTTGATGAGAACAGGCCAAACCAATGTACAAGTTAAAATCTTGAGAGAGACTTGGCCAGCCAATTAAAACCCAAAGAAGATGCTTTCGATCGAGCTTTGTTGCCTTTTTTTTTTCTTTTTCTTTTTTTTTTCCACCAAACCTGAAACCAACCATCTAACGGATGTCTTTAGTTCAAATTAACTTGTTTCTTCTTCGCAATCTCTTTTCTCAACCAAATTGTACCGCCCATATGATTAAGAGAACTTATTTTTTTTATAAATGTTTATGGAAATTTTGTTATGTCTAGTATATGATGTATAAATGTAAGGAAGATTAATTCCCTTGTCAATTAACAAGACCGACCATCTCATGTTATCCTACCTCTTATATAACATTGATAACTAACTACTTTAGCAGGATTTCGATACCATACCTTATGAATTGTTTGAAATTTGTCAAAAATCTATGAGTAAAAAAAAGGGTCTTGGAACGTTCTGAGTTGAGGA